GGTTAGTTAGCGTAAAAAGCGTATTTTGTGTGAATTTTATTCCAACTTTTTAAAAATGGACTTGGTGCCGAGTACTCGGACTCGGACCAGGTTTTTTCAGTTGGGTACCCGAAATCGGAGACTCGGCATTAACTGGTTCTGGCACATCTCTAATATTTTGTACTTCACCGTATGTATAAAATAATTTATATGTATATTACCTCTAAGTATATATAAAAATTCTGTTGGATGTAACTAGACTAGTTGGATGTAACTAATTAACTATGCTTCTATATATTTCATCGTTGAATGGTTTAGGCTCCTTTTTAAAGGTATGAAAGTATATTTGTTCCTGTGTGTGTCTGTGTGTGTGTGTTTGTGTATATATATATATATATATATATATATATATATATATATATATATATATACACATGATATATACATATATATACACACATATATATATATATATATTTATATATATATATATATATATATATATATATATATATATATATATATATATATATATATATATATATATATATATATATATATATATATATATATATATATATGTATGTATGTATGTATATATATATATATATCTACATCTATATATATATATATATATATATATATATATATATATATATATATATATATATATATATATATATATATATATATATATATATATATATATATATATATATATATATATATATATATATATATATATATATATATATATATATATATATATATATATATATATATATATATACATATATATATATATATATATATATATATATATATATATATATATATACATATCGCGAGGTTAGAATTATTTTGTTCTATCTTCACATATCAAAAAAATTGAGTTAGATCTATTTTTTTTCATTTTATGTATAAATTATTTATTTTTTAGAAAATAATCAGTAAAAAAAAAAAAAAAAAAAATTAACTTACTATACCTGACATTGCATTTTGTTTTATCTCCCTATTCCTTTTTAAAAGTTAAAATTATAATGTTCTACTTCCGTTTTATCCAATCAAAGGTTATTTATCCAATCAAAGGTTAAGCAACAACAAAACTTAACAGAGTAAAACATGTTAATGCTCACACACACACGTACACACACACACACACACACACACACACACACACACACACACATATATATCAGGTGCGGATGCAGCACTTTTTGATGTTTGAGTTACATGGAGCATACTCCAAATATTTATTTCTTTACACTGATATCAAATAAGGATGCTTTGCAAAAAATTGCAATGATTGGAGCTTGGTAACAAAAATGCCCTAATATTTTAGCTAAAACTGCTCCAAACGTAATAAGTTTGTAAAAAAATTTTCATACTATTCTTAACTAAATCTATATTCATCGAAAATTTTAGAATTCACACAATAATCTTTTAGCGTTTAAAATGTATGACCATAAAAAGTTTGAACCCCCTCAGTTTGAGAGGGTTGCAAATTTTAAAAGACCATAATTGTTGAACGCTAAGAGATTTTTGTGTGAGTTTTAAAGTTTATCGATGAATAAAAACTTGGTTGAGAATAGTAACAAAATGTTTTATCAACTTGTTGCTCTCACGTTTGGGGCAGGTGTAGCTGAAATTTTAGGGTTTTTTGTTCCCAGGCTCTAACCATTGCAATTTTTTGCAAAGCATACTTATTTGGTATAAGTATATATATATATATATATATATATATATATATATATATATATATATATATATATATATATATATATATATATATATATATATATATATATATATATATATATGTATATATATATATATATATATATATATATATATATATATATATATAAATATATATATATATATATATATATATATATATATATATATATATATATATATATATATATATATATATATATATATATATATATATATATATATATAAATATAGTAATAGTAACAGTAATAGTATATGAGTTGCAAATACGATACAGATCCTATTAAAGTCATGTAATGACTATAGGAAACTATCAATTGAATTGTCAAGCATTCGTTTAAATTCATTAGTCGAAGAACAGTTAACCTTTTTCAATTTTAACCTTTTGAATTAAGTTACCTCTTATTTTACAATCCTCCAGGTTTTGAATTTGAAATTAGATACATCTATCTGTGTAACCAAGATGTTTGCATATGGCTGGGACTGTTTTAGATCGTCTTTGAATCTTTTCATTTCATCAATAACTATATGCAGATGATTTGAATTTAATGAATTGAATCTTTTCAATTCATTAATTTCAAATCATCTGCATATAGTTATTGACACATTTTAAATTGTCTGGTAAGTCATTGATGTAAATTATAAAAAGTATTAGGCCTAAATCTAAGCCTTGTGGGACACCGCTAGTAACGTGACCCCAATCAGATATGTGTTCTCCAAGTAATACTCTCTTTTTTTTATTAGTAAGAATGTCTTTAATCAAATCAAGAAGATCTCCAACTGTTCCATAAGCTTTATGCTTGTTGATTAACAATTTGTGAGAGATTGTGTCAAAAGCTTTTGAAAAATCCAGATATACCACATCTACTGCAATTTTGCTAAGCATTTATTAACATAATCATTGGATTTTAATAAGTTTGTAGCACATGCTTTATTCTTTACAAAACCATGTTGAGATTGAGACAACAAATTTATTTTTGAGAGATGATTTACAATGTCATTGGTTACTAAGCTTTCCATTAATTTACATGGAATAGATGTAAGAGAAACTGGTCTATAACTACTTGGTTCATTGGTATCACCTTTTTAAATAGTGGAGTAACATTTGCGTTACGCCATGAATGAGGAATTGATCTTTCTGATAGTGATTTTTTGAATATAATTGTTAGATGTAAAGATTGCACTTTAGCACATTGTTTTAATATCATTGGGTGGACATTGTCCGGTCCGGTTGTTTTATTTGGGTTAAAATTTTGATATCATCTATTGAAAAATGAAAGCTTGATAAACGCTCAGTTGTACGTTATGAAAGTACCGGAGAATCTTTGTTAACTGAATAATTGTTGAAGACTGATTTGAATTGATCATTTAATGTGTCTGCAATACATCTACCATCTGTCCCAGTAACTCCATATTTATTTCGAATCGATTTGATATTTTGTTTGATTTTGTAACAGTTAATCTTTTTTGTACTTGTAAAGAAGATGTTATATTATATATATATATATATATATATATATATATATATATATATATATATATATATATATATATATATATATATATATATATATATATATATATATATATATATATATATATATATATATATATATATATATATATATATATATATATATATATATATATATATATATATATATACGTCTATATATATACGTCTATATATACGTCTATATATATATGTATATATATATATATATATATATATATATATATATATATACATATATATATATATATATATATATATATATATATATATATATATATATATATATATATATATATATATAATATAACATCTTCTTTACAAGTACAAAAATGATTAACAAATTTCTGTTCTATTTGGGCGGGTGATGCTTAATATTTAGAGATTTTTTGTTCGCAATTTTTGGCAAAGCATTTTTAAGTTACATAAATATCAGTATATAAAAGTTTGGAGTTTAGAACTTACCTGAAAATTATTTAACTCATGCATCAAAAAGTCCTGGACTTTTTGGTGCATCAGTTAAATAACTTTCTAAAAACCCGTGTGTATATATATATATATATATATATATATATGTATATATATATGTATATATATATATATATATATATATATATATATATATATATATATATATATATATATATATATATATATATATATCAAGCCTTCCTAGGAAAAGCGTACGGTTTTTTGTCTCGTATGACCACACGCGAGTATATTTTTTCGGATAACTTGAACATGGCCGTTTGCAAGTTTTATAATAATGCTGAAAAAGTTTAAAAACAAAAAATACAAAACTAACAAAAAAAAAAGAGATTGAAATAGAAAGAAATAAAAACAAATTAATAACTTTTATATTTTTTAATATTTTTGTTTCTTTCTGAGTTACATTCAGCAACAAACTAGAGAAGGCGAAGCATAAAAAAAGCAGTTTGAAGTCTACAATAAAAAAGCAGTTTGAAGTCTTCAATAAAAAGAATGATTTTTTTTTTCTAAGTTTTTTTTTTTTAAGAGGGTAGCAAAAATACAAATTGCAATGTGCTTGTAAAATTTATTTGTATAATGTAACAACAGAGGTCGAATTAACCAAATGCAAAATGCAAATCTGGAAAAATATATGATCTTTAAAATTTTAGTTTATGCTAAACAATCTTATTTGTTTTTTAAGGGGCGAATCAACTTGAATTTTTTAGTGAAAAAGTTATAAAAAATAAAATAATAAACTTACGACTACAATAGTAAAAACACTCTAGTAACTAACTGCATTATAAAAGTAATAACACTATAATAGTGTTGTTACTTTTATAACGTACTTATAAATTTTAAAATTCATTCTTTGTTCAAGCGACATTAGTATTCCCAATTTTTAATTGAAGTAAAAAGATATCTACAAGAATAAAGTGGATGTTCAAATAATATTAAAACTTAAATAACTTATAAAAATATGACAAACAACTTTAAAAACCGTATCGTATCGAAAGTTTAGCATTATGAAAAACGTTACTAATGGGCCGTAAAAACGCGCCTTAATTTTAAAATTAACCAATAAAAATTTTTTATTGGTTGATTTTAAAATTAACGCGCGTTTTTACGTAACGTTTTTCATAATGCTATACTTTTTATAAAGTACTTCTTTAAAACGTTGTTTAAGTCATCTGTGGAAGTTCCTGAAATTTTTAATAATATTTGAATATCCGCGTTATTTTTTCTAGATGCTTTTCTACTTTAATAAATGTTTGGAATTAATAATGTAGTTTGAACAAAAGATTTATGATTATTAAATTAGCATTTTTTGATGTTTTTTTTTTTATATTTAATGTGCAAATCCTTGTGTTCTTTTTAGGGTAATGTCAAACGGCATCATGAGTGAGTACAATTTAAACGGGAAAATGGATAAGTTGTCTTTTCAAAAAACTAATACAATGAAGTTAATCGTCGGCATGTTATTTTTAATTATTGCAAAATTAGATTAACAAATTATGGGAAAATTTCCGAACACTTTTCTTGTTAAATTCTAAAATACGTTTTTATAGCTCTGTTAAAATTTGAGTCAGCAGGCATAGGTAAATATATTTTACATTAGCTATTTTGCAATTTACAATAATTTATTTTAACTTTAGAAAAAATAAGTTACAATCAAAAAAGTTGGAATTAAAGTTAAAAAAATATTAGAAAATATATTAAATGATTGTAGGAATCATTCATACAGCGAATAGCTCTATAAATGGCAAATTAGTTTATTTACATAAATATTGAAATTAAAATCTAGGTGAGTAACATTTAAAGATACAAACAAACTTGGGTCATTAAAATTAAAACAAGAGTTACTTTATTCCAAATAAATTTTTTTTTATTTTTCTAGCAATTGTTGCAAAGTCAAAGAAATACACAGAAAAAGATAGCAAACTTAGTATTGGTGTGACTTTAAAACACGCTCCATTGCGAAAAGGTGGTTTAAAAAATCCAATTAATGAAAACTATTACAATGTCAAGAAATTTATGAATTTATATGTTCTTTAAATATTGTAAATCATTAAATATTATTTAAATTAATCTTTAATATTGTTTAATCTTTTAATAGTGTTTAAAAAGTAATTTATCTTAATTCTTGTTTTTGTTTTCCAGAAATCCATTAACTTCGTGTTATGCTAGTATAAAACATTTTTTTTTTAAAAACCTAATATATTGTAAGGGTTAAACCTAAGTGGAATCAGCTGTTTTTCATTGCCTTATTATTTTTAAATTAAACTTTGTTTGTTAAACATAATAGTTTGTTTACTCCTTTAAAATATTTCTAAAAAACTGTTATTTAAGTTGTTTGTTTGGGTTTAATTTGTATTAATTTATTTCAAATTTAATTGACATTTTTAGTGCTTTCAACCTTTTATTAAATTGGGTCTGTAGATAAAGGGGAAAAAAAACGAGCAAAATGCGTGTTTATATAGCTTTAACACACAAACGTCGAAAAAACGTCGCGATGGCGCTAATATCCAGACGGTCCGTTTATAGTCTCAAGTGCGACGTCATTACAACATCGTTATTTGACGTCAAGCGAGATTACACTTTACGACTATAAATGGGTTGTCTGAATACGACGTCCTCGCGACGTCCTCTTAACGTTCGTGTGTTTGCTGGGTGGATGCTCATTTTAGAAAAAACAGCGCTAGTAATGGTTTGCTCTCACCCTTCAGCTGGTAGTGGAAAATAATAAACGAGATAAACGAATAATAGAGATCCACTTATTGCTACATAGAAGCATGGTGTTCACAAAACATTTTTGAGGTTTAATTTTGAAAAAATACTTACATGTGTTAGAACAAGAAGACAAAGAGTCAAGATCTTCGTAATTATAAGTTAGAGCTCAGCATATACTTGTTTATTACAGATCGTGTGTCATGATCCGATGAAAGAATTAATAGGAAAACTTAACTTATTTACAAAGACAACAAAGTTAACAAAAAGAAATTAGCTCTCTTTTCGAAATAATTTAAAATAGAAACGGGTTTTAAGTAATCAAGCATCTCTAAAAAATTTTCTAATCATCTTTATCAATATAAAAATGTCTCAATTTGGAAAAAATGAAGTTATTCAAACTGTCCGCTTTTCAAATCCTTTAAAACAGTTATCTTAGATTCAGCTTTTAATTTATGTTGTTAAGCGCTAAGTAATCTTCAATTCTGTTTTTAGGAAGAAGATGTATAAAGGGTGAACTGTAAGCGTCATATTGACCTTAAAATATTGGTTTATTTATTCCATATAATGACAACAGTCATTTTTATTCATGGCTTCATTAACATTTTAAATAAGTGTTGTTTTTTTTTTGTTTAAAGAATTCTGTACTATTAATCTGACTCTACAAGATGCGACGAGAAATAATGTCATTTTGTTTTAGGCAATTAATACGAGGTTTCTATCTTTGCTTTCTTGAGTTTTAGTCATGGAGGCTGACATTTGACAAACATGACTTTTGCGAGTGCAATAGATTATAATAAATTTATAATTAAAGTAATTACAATCGGTTAATGTATTCAGAAATTAGTAAAACTAAAAACTTTAATGTCTTAACTTTGCTGTTGTTGGACATGGCGTGAGAATCAAATATAATTTGTTTAGTTTAAATTTGACTTAAGAAAAAAAAATTTAGTGACTTTTTAAAAACATTAGCTTTATCATAACACAATTTATTTAAAGAACAAAAGTATAACAAAATAGCTTGCACTTTTCTCTATTTTATATTATTTTTTTCTCAAAATAACTTGTTTTATGAAAAATTTACTAAGTCGATAAAAACTTTAAAATCTAAAAAGCGAAGACAAATTTTTTAAACATTTTTCAAATTTGTGTGCAGTGATAAATTTTATGCTAGAATCACTTCAGAAAAATAATTTTTAAGAATTTTGAGGTTGCATGCTAACTTGAATATTCTTAAGACCATGGCACAACAAATAAATTAACTGAGGAAGCAAGCATAACAAGCTGTAGAAGTAAGCTGCAGCATCTTCGCCTTTTCTTTATTTTAATAATTTTTATACTTTCTAATAATTTATAAAAATTGAATCAGTGTATATAATTATTAGCTGTGTATATATATGATAAATATAAATAATAGTTTATAAAAAAAAGTTATTTAATGGGAAAGTTACTTACCAACATTACATGACGTTCAAAAATTTTTTTCCTCACTTAAACTTATTACTTAAGTGTAAAGCTAAAGTCTAACTTTAGTTAAAGTACAACAAGAACTTGAAAAACGATTTAAAATTAATAAATGCTTTTAGTTATGCAAAAATTTAAGTTTTTAAAAAGTTAAAACTGGCGACGCTCATAGACTAGTATTCATTTTTTATGGAATAGTGCAGTTGTTGCTGCGAAACATATTGTTTAAAATTATTTTATAATAAAATATTTAAAATACCACAATGATGGTCGTTTGTTGAGTTATTGCGATGAAATTTGAAATTATTTTATTATTAAATATTTAAAACACCGCAATAATTTAAACGATTTCTAATGAAATTGTAAGAAAAGTGTAAAATGCCTTTTCTGTTACTTGATTCCGAGTTCTATTACTTGGATATTATTCTATTACTTGGATCCAAGTTTTTTATCATTTACTTCATGGAGTGAATAAAAGAAAAAAAAAGTACTTAAAGGAAAATATCCATTCTCTCTGAAGTCTCTCTGACGTGAAGCAAAAATAATCGTAGCGGAAGTCATGTTGAATGAGGTGATAAATCCTTAAAGACATTTTTAATTATCGAAAATCCTTAAAGAATTTTTGATAATTTAAAATGTTATGAGAAAATCATTATGTAGAGGTGCCAAAAAAACAATATAAATTTTACTCCAGTGAAGAAATATGTTCTTTTATTTACACCATACATTATAACGGCATAGTTTTTTTTTTTTTTTTTTTTTTTGGAACTGAAAATTGATTTGCATTAGGCTGTTGTTCAGTAAGGTTAAACGAGAAAGTGGTAAGGTTAACTGTAAAAAGATTGTGTCACGAAAAAAGTGGTTATAAAAGAGTTAAAAAAGATTGTATCACTTGAAGAAGTGGTTATTAAAGCATTAAGAAAGATTGTATCACGTGAAGAAGTGGTTACAAACGATTTAAGAGATCACGCGAAAAAGTGGATATAAAAGACTCGAAAAGTTGTTAAGAATTTATAATAAAAATACTAAAAAACTTGTTGTGTTTAGAATTGTTCAAACAAAAACACCATGTAAAGTAATGTAAAGATTTATCTTAATCGCTTCTTTTTTTTCGTATTTTTTTAAAAAACGGTCGCGATTAGTCCAGTTTTTTTTAACTTCATCGTTTTTTTTAACTAATAGAATAAAAAATGTTTTTTTACTATTTTTAACATTAATAAACACTACAAAATGTTATTATTCAACTTTAAGAATATATAAATCATACTACATAAACATAAAATTTTAAAAAAGCATGAACTAATATTCACTTTTTGCATGATATTTGTAAAAAGCAAGGAGCTGCAAAAAGTACTACATCACGTTCTTCATATTCAAATCCTGAATCTTTTTGAATATTGTCTTTGTAAGATACCGCATACCACCTTTGAGCATTAATCTTTAATTATCATTTTCAATAGTCATTTATTAAATATATCTTTTCATTATTGATTCATCAAATGTATAAAATTCTGTCTTTTCATGAGTAAATAATAACTTTTTGATAACTATTTTTGCACTAAAATAATTTTTCCTTTCCTATCCCGTTCCCGTTGAAAAACAGATGAGTGGAAACTCGCCTTAACGTTGTTAAAGCAGTCTATTTTGCAAGGATTTTTAATGTTGGTAGTAAAACGTCAATTTAACGTGACTCAAAAGACGTCGAGTAAAGGTTGAAATATAACGTTGAATCAACGCTTTAATGCGCTGGAAAAAATATCGCAAAATATTATTATATTTAATTAAACTTGGCTATGATATTGAATTGGCAAATAAACTAAATTCTATGTTGAATTCTGCACTTGCAATATTTCTAAAATCGATTTTTAATACAAACAGTTTTAATACAACGGAAAATTTAAAAATATACAACTTATTCATATAAAATATACAATTTATAGATAAATAGATAAAAATATTAACATTTTTTTTTAAGATTTATGTGTGTGAGTGGATTTACAGCATATCGTATCGATAGGCCCGGATATCATTGAGATACAGAATCTAAATCAAAAAATAAAACTTGTATCATTAGCAGTCTGATAGCAAATGTTTAAAAAAAAGTTCTTGAATAAGAATGATCATTATTAAATTTAAAAAGTAAAAATAAATATATGTATATAAATAACTTGTACACATGTGTAAATAAATATATATATATATATATATATATATATATATATATATATATATATATATATATATATATATATATATATATATATGTTTATATATATGTATATATATATATATATATATATATATATATATATATATATATATATATATATATATATATATATATATATATAAATAAATAGCAAACGACCGGAGTTGATATATGACCGGGGCCAGGTTTGATAAAAAATGGCCGGGGGCAGGTTTGTGACCAGTGCTGCATAAACATTTACACATCCTAAAGTATATTTTTTTAAATTTAAAATTTATGTTGTAATTTGTATATATATGCATATATGAATATCATTGTGATTAACATGATCATATTAATCATCATTATCATCATCATCATTAACAGCATAAAAGCAGAAAGCTTGACGATGATAAGGAAAATTATGATGATGATAATCATCATCATTATAATGATCATGATCATCATCATCATCACCATTAGACTTTATCCTTCCTCTTTTAAGCTGTTTCCCTAATATAAACAATCTAGTGTACTTTTATTCCTAACTAAAGCTCATTTTTACAATATGTAAGGCAAACTCTTCAAATTTTCTTACTTCTACCACCACCATTTTATACTGAGGTTGCTACTACTCTACATGTTGATACCTAAATTACTTTAACCTTTTCTAAAAAAAAATCTGTCTAAAATTATACCTCTTTTTTATGTCTTGTTAGTGTCACACCACACATCCATCTGATCATCTTCTCTTTCGGCAAATACGACACCATATAAATACTAAAGTTTATATAACAATGAAAGGATATTGCATGCCAGCATCTAATTAAATAGCAAACAAATGATTACATTACTGTGTGTGAAAAAAGCGCATCTTAAAAGCTTATATTGCTTCTGGAATAAAAGTTTGAAAGTTTTTATAACTTTTCTTCAATTTTAAGTCAAGCCTCATTCTACTCTACATCTTTCAAAATTATTCATTTTTTCCATCATTTAATAAAAACATCTCTCTTAAGAACAAATTGTCCTTTTTATTATTACAATAAGCAAATGTATAAATAAAGTCTTAACTGATGTATACCTCTGTTATTCTCAGTTTACTAAACCTTCTATCTTATCTTAGATGTTAGGTTTTAGAGAATTTTCAACAGTGTCATAAACTCAAGGAAGTCTAACGTTTAACCTCTAAATCATGGGTCTGATCTTATTACTTTACCCCAGAGTAAAGCAGAGCTATTTACAAAAAAATCTTACTCTAGTTTGACTCTCGAATATAATAGACATACCCTTCTTTACAGTTTAACAGAATAGTCAATTGTTAAACATCAAAATTACTCTGGCTTCCAATACTAAAATTAATTCTCAAATAAACACTACCGTTTGTGCTTCAGACAAAATTACCATCACAGTCTTAAAAAAGTGTTCTTCAGAACAATTTTTGCTGAACTTTGAAAAAATTCTAAATATATGGTTTCAATTTTTCTAAACTCTAGAAAACACCTTGACCTCTCCAAGTATCCTACGATTACTCTTCACTCTGTTATCAGTTACGTATAATTTTCTATGTAAAGGTTTTGAGGTTATTAAATGATTTCTTTCTGACTGCAGAAGTAAAGTTACTCTTGAAGGCCTACCCTCTTCTTTATTTCAAGTAACTTTACGAATACTACAAGGTTCTATTTTTGCTGATATATTATTTTTTATCTATATAACAATCATAACGAAATCTAAAGTGACTAAATTTGCTGATACCTCCACTTTATACTCTTGTTTTGACAAAAAATCATCTTTAATTGCTTAGAACAAGCAGCCAATTTTAAATCTGACCTCTCTTGTGTAACAGCCTAAGACTCACTGTGGCTTATAGATTCAAACTATGGACTTGAAATCCACAATTTTTGTTAGACAACAAAACTCATTTATTAACTACAAAAAAATATTACCATATTGTTGACATTTCTATATTGACAAATAACAACCCTCTTACTCTCAGACAAAGTCTAAAACCACTTTGTAAATGTAATAAGATCAACTTTATCTGACAAGGTGGGGCCACTCTCCGATTGTTATAAGGTTGCATTTCTTTTTTTTTTTCCTTCATCTCTATAACAATAAACCAAAACTTATTCTCAATTGCCTATTTAAACAACATGTTGCATCTTTTAACTGTATTTATCCTCTCATGCTATAAAATCTTTCTACAGCATAATAAATACATCTATTTTTTTCTATGAACATCAAAAAACTCTTATAACACTTACGTATTTTATATACGTATATGTATATATATGTATATATATATATATATATATATATATATTTATAAATGAACATATATATATATATATATATATATATATATATATATATATATATATATATATATATATATATATATATATATATATATATATACATATATATATATATATATATATATATATATATATATATATATATATAGTATATATATATAAATATATATATATATATATATATATATATATAAACATATACATATATATATATATATATATATATATATATATATATATATATATATATATATATATATATATATATATATATATATATATATATATATAGTTTATATATATATGTATATATATAAACATATATATATATATATATATATATATATATATATATATATATATATATATATATGTTTATATATATATGTATATATATAAATATATATATATATTTATATATATATACATATATATGTATATATATATATATATATATATATATATATATATTTACTTAAGTAAAATATATGTATTTAATATACGCATATGTATATATATATGTATATGTATATATATATACATATATATAAATATACATATATAAATATATATATATATATATATATATATATATATATATATATTTATAAATGAACATATATATATATATATATA